ATTGTGCAGGTGAAAGAAGGCAGATCTAGAGACTTGGTTTATGTGTGATTTAAAGGACATATTCTGATCAACGATGACTCCAAGGTTCCTCACAGTAGTACTGGAGGCAAGGGCTATGTCATCTAGAGTAACTATATGATTAGACAGCAGATTTCTAAGGTTTTCAGGCCCAAGCACAATAACTTCAGTTTTGTCAGAGTTTAGAAGTAAGAAGTTGCAGGTCATCCAGGCCTTTATGTCTTTAAGACATGCTTGAAGTTTGACCAGCTGATCTGATTCATTTGGCTTCATAGACAAATATAATTGAGTATCATCTGCATAGCAATGGAAATTTATGCTGTGCTTCCTGATAATATTGCTTAAATGGAGAATGTACAAAGTGAAGAGAATTGGACCTAACACAGAGCCCTGTGGAACGCCGTGACTAACTTCAGTTTGTGTGGAAGTTTAATCGTTAACATGAACAAATAGAAATTTTTCTGATAAATACAATTTGAACCAACTTAGTGCAGTTCCATCAAAAGTTATCAAAAGTATGTATAAGCCAATATTAATTTCATAATACTACCATTATTTGTGTCAGTATTGGCAGTAACTGACTTAATAACAGTTGTATTTTTAAAAAGAAAAAAGTTTTATTTATTTATTTTTTGTGACATGCACAACAAAATTTTGTTTGGAGCCGAGGGCCCCAGGCCGCTGCGTGCATACGTGTTGCCATCACGGGCAACTTGGGGATTCAGTGTCTTGCCCAAGGACACTTTGACATGTGGACTGCAGGCACCGAGATTTGAACCTCCAACATTCCGGTTGGAGACAACTGCTCTACCCACCCACCACTGTTACCCCCTCATCTTTTTGTCTAGGTCAGTTATCCTGCGCCATGATATTGTTATTAAAATCTGTATCAGTCAGTATTAGTATATAAACTATAAATAACAGTAACCTCACTTACTGGCCATGTTTGATTTTGGTAGTAGGCTATTTCTATTATTGTAGGAGTGCCCCCACAAACCTTGTGAGTGAAGAAACTATCAACTGAGTCATTCTGAATACTGATCACTGCTTGTGCCGGAGTTGATTTATTTTTATTATTGGTATTATGAATCTTTGGAAGAAACGGGAGACGCACTAGAATAATGAATTATGGCGGCAGGTGGCGGTAATGCAACACTCATGAGTACAAACCACAGAAGAAGAACAGGATACATGATGTCCACCCTCCGCCAATATGAAGGCACCCAGGGTAGTTTCTACCTATGAGTACAAAGAATAAGCACTGTTATTTCTATATGTGCTGAATCCGCTAGCTGGGCTAAAGTAAATGCGACGCCGAAATTAATATCTTGGGTGAGACAGTCTTCTATGTACACATTGTCTAGTAGGCTTGCTAGTGAACGAGGCTTCAAGGCCCGATGCTAAGATAAAACATAAAGTCATTAGTAGCCCTCTGGTTAGCGTTAACTTTAGCATTATCGTCTATTCGCTTGTTTTTCCAGCATAGACCTGCAGAATAAGTATTGTTAAGATTTAACCGGCTAAACATTTGAATTTCGCATCCTTAGTGACATATATAAGGTGTTTGAACAATAGAATTAAAGTTGTGTAGTTTGCTAGTAACTTTAGCTAAGCTTAAGCTAGCATGCCAGAGTGCTCGCTAGAGGTAGCTGCACAGACTGCAGCAGACCAAGCCATTTGCATGTGTTTATGTTTTGGATGTGCAGCCACCTATAGAGAAACTCCGTACTGCGGGCAGCCCAGTGTGTAAATTTCGTTTGTTCAGGAAGACTGATGTATTAAAATTAGCGTCTTTGTCGCAGTTTAGGGTGCTAGAGTCTGTATCCCTACACTCGGATTGAATGACTTCAGGCCTAAAAGTGCACTGTAGTCGTACAGTTTTAGAAATATGGCTTGAATACTGATCTGCATCCATGATTTATTTATATCGATAGTAGCCTTTAGTGTTTTGAAACAGCAGAAAGTCTCATGAGTGGTGTATAAATGTATTAATTCTGACTCGTAGACATTACATTAAGTGCTGTTTGTCGTATTTCCAGTTCTGCAGAATGTCCAAGATCAGGCGGAAGGTTACAGTGGAGAATTCAAAAACCATATCCGACAGCAGCAGCAGCACCACAACCAGCAGCACCAGCAACACTACCGCCCCCTCCCGCAGGCCCAGCGTGTTTGAAAGACTTGGCCCCAGCACTGGGAGTAATGCTGCTGATGTATGTTTAGCCTAGAGTGCAAAGTACTTGCATGGATGTAGTTGGTTTCTTATATTTCTTTGTTGATACACAAAGAGTTCCTTTGTTCCTGTGTTAGTGATCAAGAAATCTTGACCTGCTGTTGGAGCCATATGTAGTAATATATGCAGCAAATGCATTTGCCGCTCACACAAAATGTTAAACTGTTATTGGACAGTTTGTATTTCTTTTAAGTGTGAATTCTTCAAATCCCGGTGGTAAGGATTCAAAGATCAGGGTAGGCCCCAAACCTTTTGCTTATGCTGAGGGACCTTTAACTGGGAGCACCTTTTAAATAATCAGATAAAATGTATTTGGTGTTTTATACTGAACCCATTATCCACCCAGTCTCCCCACTGTCTCATTCTTGTCTATGTTACTGTATCTCATCAGGCTCAATTTTGTCTTTCAGAGTCACTGTAGAAATTGGCTGAAGACTGGTAATTGCAGCTACGGCAACACTTGTCGCTACACACATGGAACTCAGTCACGAGGCAAAGGATTTAGCTTTAGTCGGTAAGATAGTTTAGTTTTAATATTTTGACAATCAGGAATTTTGTGTGGTATTTTGGGTATATGGTTTTCAGGACTGTTCTATTGCCATTTTTACCTTTTTTTGTTTTTGTGTGACTTATTATTTGTTATTGGCACATGGCTTCTTGTGTGTATTTATGTTTGTATTTGTCTGTTGTGCAGGTCAAACGAGAGGCCCACAGGTGATCTGCGGGAGAGGATGAAGAATAAAAGACAGGATGTTGACTCAGACAACCTTCAGCGAGACCTAGACGAGCCCACATCCCCCACATCGAGAGTGAGTCTCTGCTGCTATAATTTCTAGTACCTATCTGTAGATCAGGGGATAAATGCATATAAAGTTGATAAAACATGCAGGTGTGATTCTAGAGTGTGTGTGTATGCTACAGCAGAGAGACTCCTCCAGAGGCCGACACAGGGAGAAGGAGGACATAAAGATCACAAAGGAGCGCACCCCAGCCAGTGAAGAAGAGCCCACAGAGTGGGAGACCAATCGTGAAGGTAGCTTGTTTGTTTTTATTCACATTTAAATGACATCAAGTCTCTTTAGTTTGATTTTATGATTTTAAGTGAACTCTTAAAAAAAAATTGTATGGTCCTTGGTGAGATTACTACATTTGGACTTCCTATAGCAGCATATGTGTTTTGGTTCACTTTCAGACTCAGATATTGGTGATTACGACTACGAGTTATCCCTGGAGATGAAGCGCCAGAAGATTCAGCGTGAGCTGATGAAACTGGAGCAGGAGAACCTGGAAAAGAGAGAGGAGATTGTCATCAAGAAAGATGAGACCCCTACCAAAACAAGAACCACGGCCTTGCCGAAGGTAAGTAAAGGGTGCAGTGGTTAGTTGGGCATGCACCCTTTTTCATCTGTTTGTTTTAAAGATCAGGATGATTTTTGGTTTTTAATCTGAAAATATCTTTTGAAGTATCTCCAGCAACTCTGCACTCATAGTGTTTGTAAGGAGGACCTCATTTAAATCTTCACCTGATCAGTTTTATCTGTCCTTCAGACCTCCCCAGAGCAGTTAAGCTCCAAAGATTCACCCTCATCCAGGAAATCCGGTGGATCCCCAAAACAAAAAAGTGGAACCAAAGGGCTAGGCTCTGGGAAGAAAGAGAAGAAGGCTCTGGTGTCCTCACCTGTTTCAGAAACTGCCAGGTAGGAGTCTGTCGTTGGGCTTGTCTGTTTGTTAATTTCTTTGTCACTTTTGCCAAGAGGTCAGGTTTTGGTCCTTGTTATTCGTTTGTTACCAGAATATCTCAAAAAGTATTCAGCAGATTTTAGTGCTGCTTGTTTGACAGCTTGGTCATTTGACCTTGTCTTCCATTTGATGATGATATGTTCCAACCAGGTCTTCAAAAGGGACCCATAGCAAGAAGAAAGGGCCCCGTACTCCCAGTCCTCCTCCCCCAGTCCCCCTGGACATTCCTGTGACTGGGAAGAAACACAAAGGCAAGCACAAAAACAAGGACAAGTCTGAGGATAAGCAGAAGGAAGGCAAAGATCGGGGACGAGGTACAGAAAAACACAAAGAGAAGAAGGAAAAACGCAGGTACAGTATAGACTTGCATGACATATGCAGTAATATTATCAGCATATTTACATTGTAATAATGCTTTTCATTCCATTAAATCATTAAGATGATGTCTTAGTATTTGTGGTCAAATTTGTGAGAAAATTCAGTTTTGTGTTATCTTCTTCAATATGTAATCCTCATTGTTTTGAATATAATCTTGTTGTTTACAGGGACCGATCGGACAGTTCCCACAAGGCCAAGCGATCAGTCACATCAGAGGAGCGTTCTGGCAGTGTGTCATCATTCTCCAGGGGTGTGTCACCCACAGCCAGAAAGAAATCCACCTCTCCCAAAGCTTCATCCCATAAGACCTCTGCACTAGAATCCTCTCCTCGCAGGTTAGCACATGTAGACCACTGAGTACACTTGTTCTTGTTCAAGGCTTTGTTGTTAAACAGTTGTCAATAAAAATACAATGTCTGTAGTGTTATGTGATAATGTTCCATTTTCATAACACTAGAGTTGAGTCACTACTGTGAGTAACTAACTTTCCTTTGTCACTGCAGGTCTCCGTCTCCTCCACGCCACCAGCGCAGCCCCACTCCTCCCCGCCACCTCTCCCCTTCCTCCCACTCAGGTTCGTCAGCCCAGCGGCACTCTCCCTCTCCACATCGGCGCCGCTCGTCCTCTCCCGCCTACCACCGGAGCAGCGCAGCCCCAGCCTCTGCCTCTTCACCTCAGAGCTCCAGGCGTTCCCGATCACCTCCCACCTTGCATGACACCTCCTCGCCCCACCGCCGATCTGACAGGTTGAGCCCTATCCGGCGTCATTCCAGGGGCCGTGAGAGAAGCCGTGGTGACAGAGAGAGGAGCCCGCCTGCTCAGGATCGAAGACATGAGCGCAGAAATGGTATTCTTCTGTTCCACTACTGAACTTGTTCATTGTGTTTCTCTGTGGGTTATTTATATAGCTCCATTTTTTTACCACATGACCTCTAGGGTGAAATTCAAAAATCCTTAATGCTTCATGTAGACTTCACCTCAGTTAAATTAATATTTGGTGTTGAATGTGCACTTTCACAGTACCACTGGTTTTAGTAGGTCAGTGTATAAAGCTTTTCTTTTTTTCAAAAAAATCTTTTTCACTTACATTTTTCACACATATTCTAGTTTTAGCGCAAAAAATGAAACAAAAATTTTGCGGTTACTACATTTCACACTATATTGTAGCCTTAAAGCTACTGTAGATATATACAGGTTGCCTCATTTTGCACATTGATTGGGTTATTTTGGCAAATCTTGCAGTTGATTAGTTCCTTATTGCTTCCGCTTGAAATGTCCTTTCTATACAGTGTCCCCTGTGTCTAATAAACAGTTTATCCATTCATCGGTTGTTAAGCTATGTCTGTCTTTTGCAAACAGATAGTCGCAGCAAGCGAGAGAAAGACGGTGTCCGTGATGACCGCGATTATGACTCTGAGCAGGTGTCATCACGTGATGCTCGCGACGACAGGGACACAAGAGAGGCTCGTGAGCGACGAGACACTCGTGATCGTGGAAGGGAAACGACCCGGGGGTCTCGAGACCATCGAGACAATAGGGAAGTAAAGGACTCCAGAGAGAGCAGGACAGAAACCCGCTCCAGTCTAGAGTCCTTGGAGCGGCGTGACCGCGAACGGGAACGAGAGAGGGACTGGGAGAAAGACAAGGACAGAGAAAGAGAGAGGGAGAGGGCTGACACCCACAGGAAGGAGGAGCCGCCTCAGGATGACAGGAGTTATGGGAGAGGTCATGGACGCGATGAGGGAGGGAGAGCTGAAGGAAGGACGGAGAGCAGGCCAGACAGAACGGAGAAGAATGGACGGGGGAGAGGACGCGCTACTGAAACATCTGATAAAGGCAAGAACTGACATTATATTTAGCTTTTACTTAATTTGTTTTCATCATAAACACTTAAACCAACAAGAAACCTGTTAGGTGATGGCTGCTTTATTTTTTGTTGGTGTATGTTTTTTCCTGTAGAGTAATCTTTTTTTCTTTTGTCAGGCTCAAGCAGAAACTCACGGGGCTCTCAGCAGGCAAGTGGCCATGACAACTGGGAGTCGAGCAGTGTAGTGCGTGAACGGAGCCCAGAAAGGAGCACAGATCGTAGTGCCACCGAAAGAAGCTCTGAGAGGGGTTCAGACCGAGATCGCTATGAGGGTGATAGAAGAGAGCAAGCCAGAGACTCCTCCTACGACAGGAGAGGAGGGCATGGAGAGCGGGAGCGCAGAGACAACCGAGAGAGAGGTGGGGGTTAGGATTTACATGATTTTAAGCCTATGTATTATCTGAACTAGGGTCAAAAAAGAATGCACAGATGTCAAAACAGAAAGCACAGAAAACTATGTGGAGTTATTTATACGAGTTCGTTCTTTTTTCCCCAGATCAAAGAGCAGCTTCTCCAAATCGACACCAGGGGAGATCGGAGGAGTCTGAGAGGGAGGAGAGGAGAGAGGAACGCAGGATAGACAGAACAGAAGAGAGACGGGATGACCGGATCCGCGACCGGGAGCGAGAGAGAGACAGGGAGAGAGACAGGGAGCGGGAAAGAGAGAAGGAGAAGGACAGAGAGAGGGAGAGGGAAAAGGAGCGAGAGAAGGAGAGGGAGGCCGAGAGGGAGCGGGCTAGGGAGAGAGAGAGGGAGCGAGAACGAGAGAGGGAGAGGGAGAGAGAGAGAGAGAGGGAGAGGAAGGAGCGAGAACGGGAGAGAGAGAGGGAGCAGCGTGAGCGAGAGAGGCAGCGAGAATGGGAGGAGCGAGGGAGGGAGGAGAGGCGGGAGAGAAGAGAGGAGGCCAGGGACGACCGGTCTCTTCGAGACACCTTGGACGATCGCAAGACAAGGCATGTATCAACCAGTGAACTTTACAATAATGTAAAGTATTATGTTAATAAAGGTTTAGATTGTACATTAATTACAGTGTTGCAGGCAATCAGATCAATAGATATTATTAATTTAAGAGACAAGACATTAGTTCACCAAATGATTGCTCAAGTGGATTTGTTGGGTTTTTCCTCTATAATAAAAAGAATAATAGCAAGGTCTAGCAGTTTTAACCATTGAAAGTTGCAAAAGCACAAGTATGCCACTCCCCCAATGGTGATCTAATGTTTTTTGTTTAATAACTCTCCCTTTAGTCGTAAGAGGCCCAGGGTGGAGAGCAGCCCTAGCCCCCGATCCTCGCCTAAGCGAGCAGCACGGGACCTCAGTCCAGCAGACAGTGATGGCTACAACAGTGCAGAAGAGAAAAGTGAGCTCCCGTTTGGCCGAGGGCAGGCCAAGCTGCACCCACAGTCCCTCCTCCCCAGCCCAGTGTGTCCGCCTCCATCTGACAGTAGGGAAATTCTTTTTGAAAGGACACACATCTCTTGAATGGGGAATGCACCTCTCATGTAATGTAGCCGCACCATATGTAAAGGGGAACGCACGGTTGATTATTGAAAGTTTATTTTTTGTGGGTATGGCTTGTAAATGGTCTTGTTTACACATCTTTTCATTTCATGCATTCCAGCACTGGCTGTCTCTTGTAGTGCGAGTTAAATTATATCAGTGTGAACAGAAATGTGCCAGAGTTAAATAATTCTTTAAAACAAAGCACACCAAGGTAAAATACTTTACTTTAAAAATATATTGTAATTAATTTATTTAATGAATTCCATTTTCCCACAGCATAGTAATTACCATTTAAAATTGCTCTCTTTCCTTTCCAAGTTTATTTTGGTTAAGGATGACTTTTTTATCATTTAACTTAACAGGGCCAATTAACCTTTAACGCAAAGACTCCTACTTGTTAATTATATAGTTTGTACAGCAGATACCTCAGTTTTCACCCAGAAACGGAGCACAGAGACAGTCTGCTGTCAAAGCTGACCGGTTGCTTTAATGCTGACTAAGGTTATGTGACTGTTCTGTGTGCATGTAAAGGTGGCGACAAGCATCGTGTGCTGAGCCAGGTGGTGCGGCCCCAGGAGCCTTTACTGCGTTCTCCACCAAGAGTGGCTCCATCTGATGACAAGCCTAGTCACTGGAAGGATGAGGAGCGCAGAGCGACAGGGGACAAAAGGGAAGCACGCAGCCGCCACGAGGACCTGGATCCTCGTGGGGAACGCAGCAGAGGAGGTGACAGACGAGGAGATCACCTTACAGATGGGGTGTCTGACTCACGTAGCAGAGGCAGAGACCAGCGAGAATCCACACCACCTCCTTCAGCCCTTGCCACTAGCAGTGAAGACAGGGACACTGCCGTTGGCTTGTCCCATGAAGAGGGCAAAAAGAAGACCAAGTCGCAGAAGAAGGGGCTGAAGAAGGCTCGCAAAGATGAGGAGATTAGCGGTGGCACCCGCCTAGCAGCTGCAGTGAACCGCTTCAACCCAGAGCCTCCAACTGCTGCTTCTGCAGATGCACCCTTGCACTCCCCAAGGAAAGTAACCAAGAAGAAGGCACTTGATCGAAAGAGGAAACGGTCACGAGGAGAATCTGATGTATCTGAAGAGGATGCAGCAGTTCATCAGCCACACAGTAAGAGGAAGAGAGGTCCCCGGACTCCACCACCCTCCATGAGGCCTGACCGCGGTACTAGAGGCAAACCAGAGCTGTCTCCTCTGTCCAGAATGGACAACTTCAGTGACTGGTCAGATGAGGAGGTCACAGACCGAGGAGGGGGACCACTGGAAACACAGGCTCCTCTGGTTACTGCTGAGAGGACTCCTGCTGAGCCTGTCAGGAGAGGTGGTGGCCCCTGGGTCAGCAGGGACCGGGAGAGGGGCAACCCTCCTACCATTACTCCTCTTCTTCCTCAGGATCCTCCAATGCTGCTGCAGACTCTTACTCCACAGCCCCTCATGTCCCAGCCCCTGCTCCGCAAACCTGCCCCAGAGCAGACACGCAGCAGCAGCATGGGGAGCAACCAGAGCCGCGCATCATCACGGCGCCTGCGGTCACCATCCAACGAGCCAGCCCAAAGAGATGACCCTCAGGGGCCACGATCTCGTCGAGGCAGGCTGCAGGGTGCCAACTCACATGATCGGGATCGAGAGAGAGAACGAGAAAGGGAGAGAGAGCGAGAGAGGCCGGTCGTGAATGACCCTCCAGGAGCAGAGAGGAAGTCTCGAATCGACCAGTTGAGAAGAGGAGAGCTCAGCCGCAGCACCTCATCAGGTAGATACACATCAGTCGATTAACATCCAATACTTAGTCTGTAAAAAGTTTTTTTTTTTTAGTATCGAGCAGCATTTAACTCTGATCCCACCTTAACTTCTTGTAACTGTGTCTGCTGTCTTATAGACCGGCAAGATTCTCGCAGCCACAGCTCCAGACGCAGCTCTCCTGACTCTGAGAGGCAGGCAAGGTCCAGGTCCCGTGCTGGCTCATATGACAGTCGGGAGCGGGAGAGGGACAGAGAGCCATTTGAGCGGGAACGAGAACGAAAGGACCTCCGGCCTCAGCAGCAGCCACAGCAGCAGTCCCTGCTCCTCCAACAGCCCCTACAACAACAGAGAGACTGGGAGCCTGAACCCAGGGACTGGCCTAGCAGGGGACGAGAGCCCCTGCTCATGCGTCCTAGTCGTGAACCTCTCCTGAGGGAACGGGACATCAGGGACAGGGAACGCTTGCTCCCTGAAGGACTCATCCAGCAGCACGAGCGGGAGCGGGAAAGGGAGCGAGAGAGGGAGTGGGAGAGAGACAGCAGAGGTGAAAGAGGTGGTGATCGAGAGAGGGACAGAATGATAATGATGGACCTACCGCCTCACGGGGACCCCAGGGTTCCAGGAAGAGGGGACCTGAGGGGTGAAATTAGAGGAGACCTGCGAGGGGACATGATGCGACAGGATAGAAATGACTATGAGCCCATGCTGCCAAGAGAAGCCTTCAGCCCTCCAGAGCCTGAGGAACCAAGCAACAGTCACCCTGTCATTGGAGAGCAACAGGAGCTAGAGAAGGAAGATAGCATTGACGGTAAGAAGACAAAAACATACATGCATTTTTGTGTCGCTTTTTACCAAATTTTCGATTTAGAGAAATTTGGAGAAATTTAGAGAAATCTATGTGTGTTGTGTTCACAGGAGACGATGATGGGAAAGAAGACGATGGCCAGTCAGTCGCATCTGTAGGGGAGGAGTATGAACCAATCAGTGATGATGAACTGGATGAAATTCTCAATGACAGCCAGAAAAAAGAGGATCAGCAGGATGATGAGAAAGTTACAGGTACCAGGAAATACTTTTATGGATAATGTAGGACTAAATCGTTTTGTGAGTGTGACTTATAGTGGTGTGAAAAAGTGTTTGCCCCCTTACTGATTTCTTATCTTTTTGCATGTTTGTCACACTGTAATGTTTCAGATCATCAAACAAATTTAAATATTAGTGAAAGATAACACAAGATAACACATCATGCAGTTTTTAAATGAAGGTTTTTATTATTAAGGGAAAACAAAATCCAAAACTACATTGCCCTGTGTGAACAAGATCCAAAGAAATTCAAAACCAAATGAGAAAGAGAATAATTGAGCTCTATCAGTTTGGAAAAGGTTATAAAGCCATTTCTAAAGCTTTGGGACTGCAGCGAACCACAGTGAGAGCCATTATCCACAAATGGCGAAAACATGGAACAGTGGAGAACCTTCCCAGGAGTGGCCGGCCGACCAAAATTACCCCAAGAGCGCAGCGACAACTCATCCAAGAGGTCACAAAAGACCCCACAACAACATCCAAAGAACTGCAGGCCTCACTTGCCTCAGTTAAGGTGAGTGTTCATGACTCCACCATAAGAAAGAGACTGGGCAAAAATGGTTTGCATGGCAGAGTTCCAAGACGAAACCCACTGCTGAGCCAAAAGAACATAAAGGCTCGTCTCAGTTTTGCCAGAAAACATCTTGATGATCCCCAAGACTTTTGGGATAATAGTCTGTGGACAGAAGAGACACAAGTTGAACTTTTTGGAAGGTGTGTGTCCCATTATGTGTGGTGTAAAAGTAACACCGCATTTCAGAAAAAGAACATCATACCAACAGTAAAATATGGTGGTGGTAGTGTGATGGTCTGGGGCTGTTTTGCTGCTTCAGGCCCTGGAAGACTTGCTGTGATAAATGGAACCCTGAATTCTGCTGTGTACCAAAATATCCTGAAGGAGAATGTCCGGCCATCCGTTTGTGACCTCAAGCTGAAGCGAACTTGGGTTCTGCAGCAGGACAATGATCCAAAGCACACCAGCAAGTCCACTTCTGAATGGCTGAAGGAAAAACAAAATGAAGACTTTGGAGTGGCCTAGTCAAAGTCCTGACCTGAATCCAATTGAGATGCTGTGGCATGACCTTAAAAAGGCAGTTCATGCCCGAAAACCCTCCAATGTGGCTGACTTACAACACTTCTGCAAAGATGAGTGGGCCAAAATTCCTCCACAGCGCTGTAAAAGACTCATGGCAAGTTATCGAAAACGCTTGATTGCAGTTGTTGCTGCTAAGGGTGGCCCAACCAGTTATTAGGTTTAGGGGGCAAACACTTGTTCACACAGGGCTTTGTAGTTTTGGATTTTGTTTTCCCTTAATAATAAAAACCTTCATTTAAAAACTGCATGATGTGTTTACTTGTTATCTTTGACTAATGTTTAAATTTGTTTGATGATCTGAAACATTACAGTGTGACAAACATGCAAAAAGATAAGAAATCAGTAAGGGGGCAAACACTTTTTCACACCTGTAGATCCCTGTGCGCTCCCAGTCTCACGTGACAATAGTTCTGCCATGTTTGCATTAGCACAGAGATGCCTTGCATCAAACCAAGCGTTCCCTTTTTGTTAACCAATAAATACCAGCTAATAACCGCAGAGTGATTTATTTCTGCCTCAATTGCTATTCATCACTAGGCGTCCAGG